TAGCTAGTTGCTGTGGAGGTCCCAGGTGGATGCCGCGTTGAGTTTGGTTTTTGCCTTGAAACGCCAGTTTGGCAGATCCAGACACCAGCCCAACTGGAGGGAACCCCGCTGGAGAGACTGGATCTGAGGAAGCTCTGCCTGAGGGATTTCCCGCCTTCTGAGGGAGCCCCAGTCTGAGGTAAATCTTCCCGAGGGTTCTCCCACCTGTGGGAACCCTACTTGAGGAGAGCTCGGATCTGAAGGTGCTCCCCATGAGAGAACCCTGGTATGAGAACCTCACTTTAGAGAGTCCGACTTGAGAGAGAGCTCCCCGATCTAAGGGATCTTAGAACTGGGGGAGTCCTTCTTCACAGAGCCAGGTCCTGAGATGACCCCCGATCCGAGGTAGTAGGATTTGAAGGTATCAATCTAGAACCTTTTTTTTTCTTTAATTATTTGTATGAGTGTTTTGCCTGTAGTACCCAGAAGCTAGAAGAGGGCGTCAGATCTAGAACTGGAGTTACCGGTGGTTGTGAGCCACAATATGGGAAAAGCAGTTTTTTCTCTGGAAAAGCAGTTAACCACTGAGCCATCTCTCCAGGCCCTAGAACGGCAGTTGCGATGCTTTAATACAGTTCCTCTTGTTGTGATGACCTCCCAACCATAAAGTTATTTTGTTGATACTTAATAACCAATTTTCCTAGCATCATGATAATGTAAATATCGGATATATGATACTCTTTGGGGGTCGCGACCCACAGGTTGAGAAACAGCTGCCTTAGTTCCTAAGGAATTTTGAGGGCCACTACCGGAAGGGTTGTTTCTCAGGGCTGAAGGCAGGTAGTAGGCTCTCCACATCGCACATTCTCCTGCCTTCACACAGCAGTATGGTGGATGTTTATCTTTTTTAAGTTAATTTGTTTAATGAAAATGACAAATTTTTATGACTTTTAAGAAACTTAAACAAGCCTTTTCTGGGTTTTATAGTAATTGTAGGTTGTTAATGTATATGCTTTCCCTTTGTTACTTAGTTTTATTGTCACAGTTTTTTAAAAAAAACTTGTGTATATGTTTTGTAGTAGCTTTGCATGTGTGAGAAGTTACGTATTGTAGTAGAAATAACAGCATTTCTATTGAAATTAGTGCCTGCCTTATTTGTTTACTTATTTATTTATTGCTTATGCATGCAGGAGCCTGGGGAGGTTAGAAGATGCAGAATTCCATGGAAATTGAATTACAGATAGTTATGAGCTGCTGTGTGGGTGCTAGGAAATGAACTCAGATCTTCCTTAAGAGTAACAAGTGCTCTTCTTGGTGGCTCTGGTCTTTAATCCCAGCACTTGGGAGGCAGAGGCAGGTGGATCTTTGTAAGTTCGAGGCCAACTTGGTCTACAGAGTGAGTTCCAGGACAGCCAGGACTGTTATGCAGAGAAACCCTGTCTCAAACACCACCCCCTCAATAAAAAAAAAAAAACCCCCCCCCCAAAAAAAAAAAAAAAAAAAAAAAAGTAACAAGTGCTCTTGACCTCTGAGCCATTTCCTTGGCTTCAACATCTGATTTCTTTTTGCCCTGGAGAAACATTACTTTTTCAAGTACTATATTGCTTGCTAATTTGCTTACTTAATAAAGCTAATCCTGATACCCAATACATTTTAGAAGCTATGGGCTGAAACTTCTTTTAATCTTAAATCATGTAAGGTGACTATCATTCTGTGAGTAATTTTTTTGTTTTTGTTTTTTGAAACAGGGTTTCTCTGTGGTCTGGAACTCACAGAGATCCACCTGCCTCTGCCTCCCGAGTGCTGGGACTAAAGGCGTGCGCGCACCACCGCCCAGTCTGTGAGTAATTTATACACTTTGATTTTGCCTTATTGAATTCCTATATATTCAAAGTGTGATGTGTGATCACAGTAGGAGTGGGAGTATTTACAATCTTCTGCCTGCTTTTGCTGAACTCCTGGTTAAAATTAAATGTTTGTGTATACATATACATACATATATAAAAATTTGAGACAGCATCTCACTATGTATCCTTGGTTGGCCTTAAGCTCCCAGAGATCTGCCTGCCTCCTCTGCTTTCCAATTGTACCCATATATAAGGTATATAGTGAGGGACTGGAGAGAAGGCTCACCAGTTAAGAGCACTGGCTGCTCTTGCAGAGGACCTGGGTTCAATTTCTAGTACCTGTGAGACAGCTAACTCACAACTGTCTGTATTCCAGTCTCAAAGGATTTGATACCCTCTTCTGACCTTCTTGGGCTCTTGTATGCATACACTCAGGCACATATACATAAATATTTGTAAAAAGATAGTGTTCATTTTCTAATGCCTTTTCAGTTAGGCCTTATAATAATACTGTTTTCTTTTTTAATTGTAGAATACATGTAGTTATGGCTGCTGTTTATTCTGGCATTTCCTTTAAGCTTAAAAGCAAAACAACTTCCTGGGAAGATAAACTAAAACTAGCTCACTTTGCTTGGATTTCCCATCAGTGCTTTCTACCAAATAAAGAACAAGTAAGTTTAATATAAAACTTAGATTTTTGTGATTTAAAATAATTATATATACAACTTGGATGTTGACATTTATTTAAAAGATTAGAAAACAGCTTAGGGAGGAAACTTCATTGGAAGTCAAAGTAATGTCAGTGAAAAAGTAGTGAGATCTTTCAGTTTGGTATGTTGAAGGTTGGGAAGTTGGGGAGTGTTAGTCTTTTTATAAAGCCAAGCTAGAAATAGAGAGGTACTAAGTATAATGTTCTATTAGTATTTCTTAAGCTTCTGTGGCTAAAAAGTGGATAATACAACTATAGTAGGATGACAAGCTCATGGAATTGGGTTGACATACATCCCAGTGCTGGTTTTAAAGGAGGCACCATGAGATGTATCAAAAATGTATTCTAATTGTTAGAGTAGTTATGAGATGTAGAACAGTTGACCTAGTAGTGTCCACACCTACTACACATTTGAATCAGCTTAGCAGCTTGGTAGTACCCTGGTAAGCACTCCACAAAATGATATGTCCTTATCCTTTTTCCTTTTAGCATCAGTCACTTCATACATATTGACAATCCTGGAGAGTAAAGGTGAGGGCTTGGGCAGACTAAGTGTAATTCAGTGTCATAGTGTTTGCCAAGCTTGCCAGAAGCCGGAGGTTCAATCATCATCACCATTAACAACCACAACAACCGCACGCACGCACGCACGCACGCACGCACACACACACACACACACACAGTTTTGAAAGCTGAGGCCTCAACTTTTCTCAGTGTTTTGTGCTTGAGTAAACATGTTGCAATAATGGAAACTATATGTGTACAACCCTCTTTCTCATAAAGCCCTTGTGCATCAGTTTGCCTTGCTTATGTCTCCTGAACCATAGATTTAGAAGGTATACTGCATATTTCTTGGGAAAATCAGGACAAATGTCCCAGTGTTCTGACACTCATTTCTTTTTTTTTTTCTTTCTCTTATCCGTCACTGCTATTTTTTTTTTAAGATTTTATTTATTTATTATGTATACAACATTCAGCTTCTGTGTATTTCTGCATACCAGAAAGGAGACACCAGATCTCATAACGGATGGTTGTGAGCCACCATGTGGTTGCTGAGAATTGAACTCAGGACCTCTGGAAGAGCAGTTAGTGCTCTTAACCTCTGAGCCATCTCTCCAGCCCCCCCCTTTTTTTTTTGTTTTTTTGAGATGGGATTTCTCTGTAGCTTTTGGAGCCTGTCTTGGAACTCTCTCTGTAGACCAGGCTGATCTAGAACTCACAGAGATCCACCTGCCTCTGCCTCCTAAGTGCTGGGATTAAAGGCATGCGCCACCACCACCACCACTGGCCCTTCATTGCTATTTTGATTTGCATATGTGATCCCTTTTGTGGTCATTGTGGACTTTTATTGTGTTTCTCTTAGAAAAGGCCATTGAGTTCTTTCTGCCCTCTTCTCTTCTGCTCCTCTCTTTCTAGTGTCCTCCTGGGATTGACAGGACTTTTCCTGTCTCCCTCTTCTCTTCTGTCCTCTCTCTGTATCTGTGTCTCTTTGCCTCTTTTCTCACTCCCCATGCCCCCTTCTAATAAAACTCACTGAGCTCTGAAAAAAAAAAAAGGCAATTGAACAATCTTAATTTTACTGAAACTTTTCAATGACTCCAGACTAAGACAACATTGTTTTTCCTTTTTCCTTAATCAACATTTCAAGATTTCAAAACATATATTATTATGTAACATACAAGTGAGGATTTAAAAAACAAATGCTTTCACTTTACGTTTCATGCTGCCATTGAATTGAGATCTTTTGGCCACAGCTTCCCAAGTACTGATACTAATAGCCATGTATAACCGTATTCAAGTCTATTTGTTTCAAATAGGATCTTGCTATGCTGTTCAGTCTCATCTCATGTTGAACTTGTAGACTAAGTGTTCCTCCTGTTTCAGCCTAAGTGGTAGCTGATACTGCAGACATGTTTTAAAGGAAAGTTGTTTTTTGTTTTTTCAAATAGAGTTTGGTCATGGTTGGATGTCCCTATAATGCTGAAAATCTTCCTTTCCTGTAAGAAGTT